CGAAAGATGGGATAAAGGGAGAAAGTGGTTCCGTGCTTGAGGATGATGAATGCAATCCTTACCAGTAAAGGAATTGATATTTAAGGCTAGTATTTGCTTTGTAGCTTTTTCACATAATACATAAAAGTCAAAAAAATACAAGAATAGAATTACTTCCATTATTTCAACAAAGTAATATCAAAGAGCAGTGCACGTACCTGATGAACAGAATTAACAGGAGTCCCAGCTATAAAGGGTTGGGGAAAAAAGTGAAGGAGAGTTTAAAGACAGCAAAAAAGTCAGCTTCAGTTTTGCTAGTTTGCTAATTTTTAGTTCTGTCAGTGATTTTTATCTTTAATTTTTGGGGTTTCTTTCCTTAAAAATGAACCTGATTCATTTTTTTTTTTTGAAGGCTAAACTAAAAATTCTTATTTCTAGGAACTTACCAATCAAATGTATTGTGAAAAATAATAAAAAAAAAATCCGCTACCTACCATCTTTCTGTCCTGGCCATTGCGTTAAGATACCAGTCACTTTGATAAGCAGTCATCTCCCACGAAACAGATTTTACAAAGTAACAGTGAATACTGACAAGCCTTTTGCCTCTGTGGAAAAACAGCAACATCCAGTTAATTCTTACCTAACAGTTTAGTGTAATTAAGCAAAGACTGTCTGTCAGGGAAACTGTGAACATGGGCAGTCTAAGATAAATTGCCAAATAAAACCAGACAGCTTCTGTTTACCCCAGAAGCCAAAGAAAGTGGTTCCCAAATGCATCAATTAGTAGGTGTACTCAGGAGCCCTCTAGGTTAATGGTACCGAATCAAAAAACAGAAAGGTTTTTCCTCTTATTTTCCAAGACTGCAAAATTTGAAATTGAAACATACCCATCTCTTTTAAATATACATGTAACTGTAAACTCTTAGTAATTTTAAAGGAAATCCCAACTCTGTATTTGTACTATGTTAAAGTCAGCTATCGCTTTTGAGGTTGGCCAAAGGTACGAAGCAAGGCTGTCAGTTTACTGACAATGAGCAGTACATGGCTATGGTCAGGAGACCACCACCACTTCTGGACTAGACCTATTCATGCCCTCAAAATCTCTGTAACTTCATTTTATGTGTACTACTGTAGATTCATTCTGCATGCAGGTATTGAGTACCTCTTTAAAGCTAGTATTTTCAAAAGGAGCTGAAGATTTGGGAGAGGTGCATTTGTTTTTCTGGTCTATTTAGTTAATAAGCAAATTAGCAGACAAAACTCTATGTAGTTTTCTCCCTTAAAATGTGTGATTTGAAACTACTAAGGCCAACACAATTCAGCTTAGCACACAGGCAGGTGCAGAAATGGCCATAACTCCACATCAGCATCCTTCAGTGGGTTTCTAAACATCCTGCCATAGGCTGTGCCTTGCCATCAGCTCTTGCAGGAGCGAGATGCTGACTGGCAAGGCTTCGTCTCCTCTTTTTGGCACAATGTGCGGTGTAGGAGTGCTTTGCTGGCATGTTTAAAAGGACTCCAGCTTCCCAATGGGGTGGGCCAAAGGATCTTGTCACTTAAGGCTGCTCTAGTAAGTGACATCTTCCTAGAAACCACGTTAACAGTATTATTAAAATCCTGATCCAGATATACAAGGGTACCAATTACCTAAGCTGATTCCATGCTGGCAGGTGCATGAATGCGTTTCCAAAAGCAAGAGCCAGGTTTGCCATGCATGTGCATCTCTAACACAGGCTGCGAGTTGCCAGATAAATATTCATTGGGTTAAATAATAACTTTTGGCTCTCAGCTCTTCTAATTTGTTAACAGGAACAGCAGATATGGAATTAGAGTTTCTACAAGCTCTACTTACATAAGGATTCCCAGTTACGGATATATGTCATTCAGCCAGACCTCCTCGCATGATTAGGGATTGTGCAGTCAGCCTCTTATTTCTTTCCTACTTGTGCTTCAGGCTGAAAATTAGCATTGGGAAAGCCTCAAACAACCCGATTTGAATAACCAGAAGTTTGGAACATAGTTATTGATGCTTTAAATCTGCCTGGGAAATCTCAGGAGAATCGGTACATCAGCTGCCAGTTTCCAGGATTGCCACTTTCCAAGGAGAAGTTTTTCTAAGGCCAGAAGCAAAGTGGTGGATTCTTGGATGAAGCTTCAGATCCATTCTCAAATTAGCATAGCGCTAGCTTAACTGAAATTCACCTTTGAGTATTTTAGAAAAGCAGATGTCCCACCTTGTCTTTGCTGAAACACCTGTAAAGCTCCAACCACTGTTAAACAATTCGTAGGATGGGGAACGAACAGAGTGCGCTGCGGTTTTAGAATAGACTTATATCAAAATAAGGAAGATTAGTCTATTTTGCATCATATGCAATTTTTAGCTTGGTTATGATGAAGCAAAAAAAAGACAAAAAAGGAGCAATTGTTTTTAAATACATTTAATGTTATGAAACGTATTACCTTTATATCATTTAAATCCTTGCTAAATCTTAACATCAACAATAATAAAAGGTTTTTAAAAATCTTTTCTTTAATCATATACTATTCTCTTTGTTTTATACTAGGGCAGAAAACAAACAGAGTCTTCATAAATAAAACACTGACATGGAGTATAAGACAAACCCAGGCCAGACAGTCTGCTAAAAAAAAAAAATAATTGTGAAAAGTGCATCTGGCTGGCTCAGGACTCCCTGAGTAAGGTAGACATTCTCCCACACATCTCTTGGCTGTTTGGCTTCTCATGAGAAAATCTGAAATAAAGGCTGCCTTTCTTATTTTAAAGGTATTATATATACATGTCACTTGCAGTGTGAGGTAGGAACCAGTTTATAGGGGTTGTATCTAATCCGGGCCTCACCTCCTTATTGTTGCCCCTCCATTTGCTAGGCAAAAAGATAGATTTAAGCGCAAAAGAAAGCCATAGCTATCTATGAAAGTGAACTACTGTTTACTTTCAGTTGCAATTCGTCAGCAGATTATAAGGAAGGACGCTTGTCAGGATTTTCACCTTCAAAGCAATAAGAGGCACAAAAAACTTGATGTAATTTTTTTTTCAAAGGATGCCTTCGAAAAAAGGGAACCTGAACACTAGAAGAAAACAGTGTTTCCAGGTGACCTAATCCAAAACTCCATGAAGTTTTTATTTTGTAACTGAACCTGGCCCAGAGTAAATTCTTAGTTGAAAAATAGCAGCAACTCAAAAGTGCATAAATTACAAACTTCAATAAATTAAGGAAACGGATTCGCTGCATCTAACTATCCTCCTAACTGTCCCAAGATCCTTTTCGTTTTATAATGGACATGGAAAATCAGAATAAAGATACTACTATTTCAAGACCAAAACTAATCTAAAACCTTCAACAGATTTCTTTCCGATATAAGGCATCTTGTCTTTTACTGAAATTCAAAAGATATATAGAAAGATTGGAAGGAGCCTAATAATAAGACAACCCCCTCCTCCACCACCGAGGCTTAAACATTGAACTTTTCCATCCATTTGTAGACTTGTAATTCAGGGTGTCAGTTTTCAAGAAATGCTGAGCATCTCATTCCCAGGAATGCTGATTATTGGAGAGCTTGCACAGTAGGGAGGCTGAGGAGAGACCCAGTCCTGAGCAGAAGGGGAGGCAGGATACTTCAGAGAAATTTTCAGCTGCAGCAGGTTCAGCTGTGGGGCTTGCAGCTTCTTTCATGTCTCAGACTCGCTCCTGCAAGTCCTGCATTCACAGCCTAAGCAGTCTGCTGGCCATTCAAAGATTGCCGGAGACAGTACTGGAGTGACATGTTGGATCCTCATATTGAAGGCCTGGACTCTAGGGGACAGTTAATAATCACATCACTGAACCCCCTTCCACCAGCAATCCATGAGATGTCATGCACAGAGGTAGGAAAAGTGTTTAATCAGTGTGTAAGGATTGCATTTACTCTGAAGTTCTTACCGGAACTGTTCTTTAATATGAAATTACTCTTCACAGCCTCATAAGACAGGATCATATCCATTCACGGCAGAGATGAATCCATCAGTGAAGCAAGACAGTATCACTAATCGCTTTCTTTGTGGTGAGATGGTTTCCGCTGGCTGGCATGCCCTTCGAAAAAAGCACGTTATTTCTTGAACTAAAAAGGTAGTGCCCAGTTTATTTGTGGTGAATATTTGTTTTTCCTGTAGCACAAATTTAAATGCTGGGTTTCCTTCCAGGGAGGTTGTTCGTGGGGACACACTTATTATAAACAAACTTGGGTAGAGCTTGCATTTCTGTGTCTTAAGCATATTATGAGCTGAACAGAGTAGATGTAGAAGGCAACTGGTACAGAGGTAGCAGCACAGTATTGTGATAAAGCACTTCCACAATAGCACTTTCAAGTAACTTGAACTTCAAAAAAATCCACCAAAAATTTCCTGTTAAAAATGTGCTTCCAAAGAAGAACATCGAGCTTTTCTCTTTTCCCTTCCAACTTACTGCAAAGCACAGAAATCCTCCTTTTCCTTAACTAGGACCTACCCTCCATCCTGGCTGGTCCACTGTTGGCTATCCAGGTCACTGAGCAGGGTGAGCATCCAGGGTCTATCATCTGCACAGACTGCAGCCCAGTCTCTAACATTAATAATAAACGGTTCACTTTGCTAGGAACACAGCTGTGACAGCATTTGCTTCACTGGAGGAAGAAGGTTCAGCTTCAGACCTCAGCCATGGCTGAAGAAACATTTCTTTTTTTTTTTCCTGGAAAAAGTTTGTATTTACAAAGCAGGTAAATTGGTAGCTTTTAAATGTTGGTTTAATGACGTCAGTTCGTAATTTCTGATAAGTGAGAATGCGTGCCTCATCTTAATCTCATACGTCTAGTATAAATTCACAAGGGGTTAGGATCTCTGACAGCAAAGATAGCACTTGCTGCAGGCAAAGGTTGCTTCAACCAAAACTACATAGGAATACATTTACTAAAAAAATAACCTTTCAGAATTACAGACACATAGGAGTTAGACATAGTCTCTGTAGTTAAATCCATTTTTGATTTTGGAATCAGATGTCAGTTTTTGAGGTAATCCAGTCACGGAAATAAGTCACTCGTGTGTAAACTCCAGGTTTATTTGGTTTGGCACATTCGTCTCCCCAGCTCACTATTCCCACGAGGTACCACATCAGTCTAGAGTCTGGAGTAACCAGTGGTCCCCCAGAGTCCCCCTAGAGAAAGAGGAGGGGAAAAAGAAAAAAAGATTTAATTGATCAGAATGAAAAATATAATTCTCTCCATAGACAGGAGGGTGTGTCCAGTAAGAGAAGAAAGCAAGTAGTATTTCAAGAGCTGTTCTTTGTGCAGAATCCAGGCTGTTTCGGAAGCTCAAGTGGGAAGTCTGTGTTTTTCCTGTTTGCCATGGAATCTCCTGACCTGTCTCTGTGGCTTCACTGCAAAAAAAAAAAGCTTCTCTTCTATTTTGTGAAACACTGCTTCCCACCTGCCTTGTCTTCCTCCTCATACAAAGTAGGGAAACACAAATATATACAGTCATCTAAGCCAACAGGAACTTCTTTTTTTTTATGGTAACCGCTATTCTTTCAACGAATTCTTTTAGTCACTTGCAGCAACAACATTTCAAAAAGGATTTTATCAGGAACTTGTCTTCTAATTAGACAATATCTCCTTATCTAATTAGACAATATCACTTTCAAAGGCTGAATTCAGATACAGTTAGTAGCATGACATGGTACTAATAGTTAAACTGGAAACCTTACAGGCTGAAAGGCGATCCTCACACAACTGACCAAATTCCCCATCTTCCACCAAAATGCTTTACTGAAATAAACAAAAGTTGCACCCCTCTGTTCAGGTCTCTTCAATGGTGACCCAGACAAGAACAGAGGAATGGAGCCTCCCAGACTTACTCTGCAGGGAGTTTTGCTTTGGGCATAAATTTGTAGGACTGGGATTCTGGAAAGGGTCTGTTTTGAACCAGGACTCAGGAGTATATTCTTTGTAAATAACATAAATAGAAATTACCTTTTTAAAAATTATCTCTATGGAAATATTTTTGTTTGAACATAAGCATTTCCTTGCAACATCTGCAAACCTGTATCACGCATATACCCTTACCAGTCCTTTTACACCTAACTTCCTTATAGTTATCTTTGTTTCAGACAGTTTTCCTTCCACTGATCCAAGTCGGTTACCAAAGATCATGACAGATCTCTTATGAGATGGTCTAGTCCAGAATTTAATTTCAGTGAGTGATAGTGCATTTTCGCTGGCAACTTAACTGCTACATTCTTAAACTTCTTCCTTCCCAACTGTACAGATGTCTGGCGCTGGCTACTTGAGACACTTAATTTTTAGCTAATATTTAGTATTTCAGCATTTAGCATCTCTTGTCATGTCACTTTGCAAGCAAATTGTTAGTTAGATTTCACACACAATAAATCATGAGAAGCAAATGGGCTTGTAGCAGTTATTCTGAGTTACAGAATAAGAATTTCTTTTCATGCTATGAAAGGTTTAAATTCTGAATATTATACTAATTTAGCTCTCTTAGTATGGGTTTCAGCTGCTAAATGATATATACTAAATGCTATTTCATTTTACAACTCCATTCCTGTTTGAATGGAGCCTATTTAAAGGACTAATACACTGTCAGTCAAGATTTGGTCAGCCAGATACTGGAGTCAGCATTAAAATAGCTTTCCTTTCTAATTTTCAGCTACAGTTACCTGACAAGCATCTACTCCTCCTTCCAAATATCCAGCACACAACATCCTGGGTGTTATGTCCCCATCATACACTTCTTTTCTGTTGCAAGTGTTTGAGTCGATAAGTTTCACTGTTGCTTCCTGAAGAGCATTTGGAGTTGGACCTGAGGCAAAATATAGTTTGGGTATTTATCAACAGAATTACTTTGCAGTAGATAAGATACAGGAAGAGCATTTCATGTTCTGTTACGGAGGACCAGCTTGACTTGGTTTAATGTGGAGGTTTTGCTTGTGTATCTGTCTAGGTTAGACCCTTAAGGAAAATGTACATTCTCATAGTCTCACTTGGGAATTGTACCATAAAGACAGAAGTAACGATTGCATGGTAATAGTGCCTTAAGTGTAAAACCATATATTTTATACATGCTGCATATAATACCATGGAACACAAATTACCTAGCAATTTGGGCAGATGAAATGAAGACATCTTGGTTCCATTGCTAGATCTACTCTGAGCTTGACCTGACAAGAGTGTGAGCTTGGGCAAGTCACCATCTGCAGCTCACTCAGCCCGTTTATCAGAAAGCCCACAGAGTTATCTGTAGCTTCTGGCTAGAGCTGGGAGAATATTTTTTTAGGTGCTATATAAACACATGCATGGCTGGACTACCTGTCTTAAGAATTTACAGTATGAATTGGAAAGAGAGAACAGGCTTCCTCCTTTTTTCTGCTTCACTGGATTGTAGCTCTGTCCTTGTTCAGTCTAATTTTAGAACCAGAAACTGCTGCTTATGATTAAACAAACCTATTGCTTATAGACAAAGCATTGGACTTACTGCCATACAACATATGGCTACAGAAGTGGTGTCAATTCAGTAGCAGATCAGAGCCACTGTTTGTGACATACAGTTCACCTGGTAGACTCAGGACTCACCGTCATTGGTAAGTGCTCCCCAGCCTGTGATGACAGCATAAATATTGTACGGAAAAGTCTGAGATGGCTCAGGCAGACAAACACGGTGTATGCTACTCGTAAAGTCAACTCGTTTAGAGAGCTGCACAAGGGCAATGTCATAATCATGTTCTGGGTAGCGGTACTTTTCATGAATAATAATAGTCTTGACTGATCGTTTCAAGCTTGGTGGCTTCAGAAGAGCTCCAAAAGTAGCAGTCCACTTCTGAGGGTGACTCATGCTGAAAAAGGTAAGAGTGCTGTAAGTATTTAGCTGAAAATATTAGTGTTCGGGACTTTAAACTTGGTGAGCACCCTTATTGTAAAGCTCCTTCAAGCCAGCTCCCTACTAGATTCTTAAGGCATCCATCACTTTCCATAACACCATGTCCCACGTAATTGTGGGCTGCTGCTAGAAGAGGGCAATGCTGCCTTCCCTCCTCAACCATGGTCTCATACTCCTCCCCTGCTCCTTGTCCCTGATCCAGCCATCGCGTGGCTGCAGGGTGTAATCAAATCAAAAAACTCTTCTGCTAGAAAACCCTTCATTGCCATTACTCTTTTTGCATGTTAATAGTCTGTTCAATCAGCTGTTCCATCTTACATGCCCTGCAGCTTCACGACTGCCATGCTTGAAACAAAAAAGTGCTGGGAGTGCATGGCAGAATGTAGGGGTAGGAATGTGGGATTATAAGTTCTGGTAGCAACCAGCAGCGGCAGCAACCTAGTTGTAACACAAAGGAACACCTTTAGAAACACTTAGTGCCACAGGAAACAGTCTGCCATTTCAGTCACGTTACCTTTTCTGTGCTTCTTTGCTCACTATGCCAAATGACTATTGATTTCCACTGATACAATTGCCAATTCTGCTGCAAAGAGTCAGTCTTTAATTTTTCATTGAAACATTCAAGTGATGGGTCTGCTTAACCCTGACTTTTCTCCTCCAAGGCAGAAAATTGTTCCCCTGAAAGAGTCAGGGGTATGGTGCAAATCTGGAAAGCCACTCAACTGGATGCACAGGAAGCACATTCTGTTGCAGATTCTCTCTAAGATGGGAACTTACTCTCTGAAACAGTGAGCTGCAGATACAAGCCATGTGTTGCTGATGAGCGTTGCACCACAGCGATGGATATTATTGTACTGCAAGCTAGCTTGCCACGGCCAGTCCCCGGTCTCTGCAGAAGACAATCCGCCAACTATTCGCAACGATGATGATTTTACCATTGACTTGACTGATCTATTCTGCCGTAACCCACAGACTGTCAAAAAGGAGAAAGAGTGTATTAGCTATTCTTCTGTTCAGTAACCATGCCTGCCAATGGCTGTGGAAAACATATGTAAAATTACACACCACCTAGGTTCTCTACCAATATCAACATCAACAAGAAAATGTACCTTCCACCAGCCTCCCAGATCAGAGATCCTCATGCACAACCCATTCTGTTAGAAGCCTGAATGAATAACTGACTATTATGGAAAGCCATGATGGTCAACCATTCAGGCTTAGCTGCATGAGCAGCCCAAACCAGGAATCAAAACCTTCACCACACACCCAGGACAATTCCCAAATACAGGGACTGCCCACTTTAACGTCCCAGGTAATCTGTCATCAGGATAAAACATGAACAAGGCAAAATTTAAGATGGCAATGATCCAAGCCATGGGTTTTTGTCACACATGCATGCAGGTTACAACAGCACAATGTCACCTGGAAACAGGCAACTGTGCATTGCACAAATGGCAGTCTGCAAGCGGACCTGGAGAGGTACTTCAGGCAAAGAGCATGACACTAATCCAAGCCAGAGATGACAAAGCCATGGATACCTCCAGCCATGGTGTGCATCCATGACAAAAAGTTTTATCCTCCAAACCCAGAGAGAAATGAAAATATCCATGGTTTCAGCCACTAAACTCAGGATATTCAGGAGCAGCTGAAGCTCCCCCATAGCTTTAGAAACTTCCTCAGTGGACAGAGCTGCTTCAGCTGTCTTCTCCCATCCAAACAGCATCAAATACATCTTACCTGGACCAAGACCCACTAGTTTTCATCCAGGCCCCGATTTCAGCTACACATTACGAAAGTTGACAGACAGGACTATCCCAATTCATTGAAAAAGAGACAGAGCTAAGAATTATTTGCATAGTGACAACAAAATCCAAACCATTGCACTGCCTGTCACCTGCAGACAGTGACCCAGAGGGGGACAAAGCAGAAATCGGTAGTACGTCACTGAAGAGCTGCCAGCCCCAGGGCCCTTGAAGTCCTCAGAAGCGAAACACTGGAGCCACGCAGAGTGTAACCTCTGCTCCTTCCTTCCTGCTAGGATCCTCGCAAGGTTATGTTAACAATACCTCATAGTCAAAAGCATAAATTTGAGGGGGGAAAAAAAAAAAAAAAGTCATACAGTATTGAGAAGCTCATGTGCTCAGTGTAGAGTCTGCCCTGTTCTAAGATTTAAAACCACAATGAAGGGAATCTGTGAAATCTAAATCTACTTGTCCAAATTTTTCCATGTGAAAGGAAAACTGGAGAACATGCCATAATTGATAAGGCTGTCTGCACTAGCATGTTTCCGTCCTGAAAGCTATTGGTAATCCTCAGTTACTGGTCCTAAAACTGCACAATCCTAGCAACCACCTGAGCAGTCAATGTTCAAAGCACAGGATAAAACTCACAGTTCCATCAGTACCCCAAAACACTAGCGCCTAAAATGGACCCAAAATCTGATGTTATTTAATCTTCCGTACTTGAGAGCTTGCAGGTAAGGAACTGGTCAAGACTTCCCAGAGTTAAAAGAAATCCAACTTGTATGCACAGATGGCTTTTTATGATTATTAAGTCTCCAAACAAGCTGACTTCCTTCTCCGAAAGCTTAAAAACATCTCTAAAACAAACTACCTCAACCTAACCCCTACAGCAATACCTTGAGAAGACCAATCATATTGCCTTATATTTCCATAAGGAACAATTTTGTGCTACTAGCTACACCAAAATCCAGAACATTTTCATTATAATCACAGGCTGATGTAACTTTTATAAATTTCCTTATGGTCCTTCCTTCCAATGCCCACTAAAGAAAATGACATATTTCCGATTTCTGAGAGCACACAAAAAACCAGTATTCCAAACTCTTCTGCACGTGCCCAATCCTACTGACTTTCGGGGCACTCCTCACTCGCAGGCTGGGTTAGAGGTCTCTGCTAGGGCTGCCATCCTTAACGCACCAATTGAACAACATGCTGGTACGGGTTGAGGTGTAAATCTCATCACTTAATGTGTAGAGAGGAAAATCACAGGTAGCACGGTGGAGATGAATTTTTATGCTACAGCAACCAAGACCAGCATATATGAAATGGATTCTGCAATCACTGCTCCAAGATGTAGTTCTAATACTTTACATCAGGGAGACAGAGGACAGGGTATGTGCCCTGTGCAGGCAAGATTAGACTTGACAAAGTATTCTATTTAAGTACATGTTTTAATCAATTTATAATAGAGATTGCTTCTAACTATAATCTGCTCAAATATAAAATGCACTCAAATCCGTGATAAGGACTCTCCTGTCTTTAGCACATCATAGTACACATGTCAGCTAGCTGCTGTGCCTGACATTAAAGCAGACAACTAGCCCAGTTAAGTTCCTTTATTTGTTGGAAGTCCTCCTCACTCACTCACTTTACTATGTACACCTAGGAGTCATCTGCAATGTCTTAGATTTCATACAGAAATGTGGCTTAGTCTCTGCGTGTCCAAATACACAATTAAGCAGACACAGTGTAAAAGCTCTCACTGGTACCAACAGCAACTGGATCAGGCTAGTAAATCAACAAGTGTCCTGAGCATTACAGTGCTCAGCCCTTAATGGCTAAGTCCTCTGTTTCCCAGATGGCAGGGCTTACGTTTAAGATGCACCCTCCACCATCTAACACCAGCACTGCTGCCATAGGCACTTACACAGCAGGACCTCTATATGTCCCCCTCTCTGCCTGATGCTGGGGATTTCTATAGAGCCCTCGGCACTTGCTCTTTTCTCATTGTTTGCTCTTTTCTCACAGAATTGTTGATATTATTAACAGAAGGAACATCTCACTGTAAAAACAAACTGACCAGGGACCTCAGCAGTGGGTGTAAGACTTTTTCTAGAGGGATTTTTCTTTTTTACCCCATCACCACTATTTTCAAGCCAGTCTTCCTAAGTATCCCACAATATGCTAATAAAAAAGACTTCCTTGTGAGTGAGCAGGGTTTTTAAACACACAGCTCATCTGCGTGAAGTACAAGGTCACATTCATTAGACAGGAGAACGAGAAAAGGCTTTTAAGGGCCCGGAAAAGTGCTCAGAGGCTATGAACGCTAATTAAAACAATCAGAGAGTTTCCAGGCTTAAAAAGCCCTCACTTACTGTCATTGAAGAGGGCTTCTGCTCTTTTCGTCTCCATATCTGAAACAAACAAACAGTCAGGGTAAGTCCAGGACAGCACAGGACAAGGTTTCCCATCTGCCTGGTCATCCCACCCGACAGGCCACCGCAGTAGGTACGGCTGAGGGGGGCTGCTAGAGAAACCCGTGTAGCCCATATGTGGTCATCTTCTCGCGCTGGGTATTGCGCTCCTCTCCGTGATGCTTCTTGCTGTTCTTCAGCCTGCCAATATCCTCAGAGGACCAGGCACAGGCTCTCCCCCATCCTGCTGGACCCTGATGTTTCTGGAGGGTAGTACAGACAAAACAAGTCCTCTATTACTCAAGATCCGCAATTTTGTTCGGGAGAAATTTTCACAGTGGGAAGTTCTGAAGTTCCTTTTTTTGTTAAAAAAAAAATCAACTAGCCACATTTTATACCAGAGTGAGGGCCAGAGGAGATCTGCTACTCACTCCGAGCCCTCTTCGAGATCAGAAGGCACTGACTTCACTGCAGCGCCAGCTTACAACAGCAGCGGCTCGCTCTCCTTGCTCCTATCTTATTGAGCAACAGAGTGTCTAGTACAGTATTAATACTAAAAGAGATAGTTCATAGCAATTTATTGCATGGCACAGCAGGTTTTAGCAATACATTCATTCCCTCCTTTAATATGCATGTTTTATGTTTATGGACAGTACAATATGCTCATGCTGACCACAAGCATTGGCTCAAGGTATAAGTCTATTCCCCGTCTTCCAGAATGCTATTTTTATTAGTTGCCAGCAGTCGAAACAAATTAAAAAAATTTTTTTTTAAAAATCACATTTTCAATACAGTTTTTAAATTATATATCTATACTTGTACAACATCCACAACTTCATATTTTGCAGCTGGATAGCCTTTCTCAGCAGATCCCTGTCCTTATCCACTTAATTTCTCTTTGCAGCTACACAGAATAACATCCTAGTTTTGATCCAAAACCACACCAAGCCAGGTGTCGTCTTTTGAACGCAAAGGGCCCTGGCTCATACTTGTCACCTATTGTGCTTGTACCCCTTTTGTTTTGCTTGCGGGCTTGACACTCCTCCTGGTGTGCAGGGTGAATTGCGTGTTCGCAATCCGCCATTATTGGAAGTGTACTCATTCATTTCTTAATATGACATTAAGCAGATGATGATAGAAAAAGGAAACAAATAGAACTCCAGTGCATGTAGAGCTTGACCCCGGGGAATGTTACAGAGCAAAGGCAGTGCTAGGGCTGCTGTATGTGCGTGCAGCTGCTGTTTTATTTTGTAAGAATGGGAGATGAGCCACAATTGGACATTTGTATAACAACACAGTCTTTTTCACTATAACAGGAACTGTTCACATAATAAAGATAAATAAGTTTTACTAGTGGTCCAGGAACAACTTGCAAGGTCCCCTTTCAGTAAAACACGCTCACTTGTACTTTCTCAATTCCTATGAAAGAAGGAGGAAAACCCTAAAGGACAGGTACTTCTGCATTTCAATAGTGTCGGTTGTATTCTGTGAATTTCCATGGATGATACGGTTGGTTGTTGCCAAAATCCCTTACATCAAAATGTAATAATCCCAGACAGTAAAAGCTAGGCCAGCAAAGAAATTCAGCGGTGATGTAAACATTACAGTTTGGTACATTAGAAAGTGAGGCCGGGGGGGAAAGGGTGCTGAGCTGTGCTAAGGATTTGGCTACTTCATCTATATGTTTATATTGGCAAAGAATTGTTTTGAAAAATCAGTCCCTACTTGTTTATTTCAAGTATGATGAGCATCCAGTGTTTTCCTAGAAATTCATACAACCTTCAGAACTAGCTCATCATTTCAGTCACTAATATTTTATAGCTGGAAACCAGTAAGAAACCAACAAATGTAATTAACAATGAAAAAGCACATTTTGCCTTCAAGTGCAATATTGATAATAATGTTTTTTTAGCTCCTCTCTGGGTGGAGAGACCTTTACCTCATAATGCCTAATTATAAAGCCTGCAGTCAATTATTAACACTTAAATTCTATTGCAAAGCTCATCGAGACAACAAAAGGAGCAATCAGCTTGTTCGAGCACAGTGCCAGATGCAATTCAATTGGCATGTTCTTGCTGCACTGAGTTTTGCTGTGAGTCACACAGGTGTTCTGCAAGGCACCTGTCTATAGCTCTGTTTGCCTTTTTACCAGGCACCTAGAAAAAAAAAGTACAGGCGTCACATGGGCAAAATTTTACCCATTGCTTCCAGTTGGACCGATGTGTGTAAGCGGAGAAAAAGTCTTCCGCATGCACACTTCAAGTCTTAAACAGTATGTCTGTACAGCTTTGAATTTTAGCATATTTTATAGTACATCCCGACTATGCAACCGATGTACTCTCCACCCACTGCTGTAGGAAAAAGGTCAGTGAGCCCTGTCAATAAATTCAATGCTGTATTCACCAGGGTAGGGGCACTGCTTTGCTTTAGAGATCTGCCAGATTCAGTGCCCCAACCATGTATCCCACACTGGGAGCTGGAACACAAGTACTAAAGAAAACACCACAGCAATAGAGAAAACCTCAAAGTAAAGGGAGTTTTTAAGAGGTGAAAGCGGGTCGGTCTGGCAACAGACCCAGGAACCCACTGTGCAGATCAGGACAGGTGAAATTAAGGGCACAATACCCAGGACTCTAAACCAAGATCCCAAACCCAGAGCGCATGTATGGGTTTGGAAACTTGAACTAACTGACACTATTTTCAGATAAGCTGAGCCCACAGTAGATCCCATCAAAGCAAGGAGCACTTTGGGTTACACGATACTGCTAAAAATCAGCTTCCTTCCTGGCTTACCTCATTAGGGGTTTTCCCTCGTTTGTTACTAGCTCGACACTTTGGCCTGGTCAACAGCATAGCTGTTCGCATTCTGCCAGCCAACATGTTGCAAGCCCTGCCTTGAAGCAAACACTTGTAAGGCACGAGAGACAATTTCACTGCCCAGCTCATTTATTAGTTGCCCTAGTTGTTTGCACTACCAAGAAAAAGCATCAATTAGTAACAATTAAAGTGTCAGAATCTTGTCCCAACCACGTACAGCTGCAAAAATAGTTGTTTGTGCCACATTTAGGAAAACAGTGTTCAGGCTTCCACTGTAAACAAGAACAAGTTCAACTTGAACGTACATTGCCTATCTGTAAAATGGAACTTGCTATTTAATTAAAGCTTGCCTAACTTAAAAGAGAAAACTAATGTTTCAATTAAAATCACAGCAATCTATTGAAACACGGCTTAGGGGTTCCGTCTTTCAGAAGAGGTCTCTGTTCTCCAACCAGACAAGCAATTTTGTTAATACAGTTATTTTGCATATTTAGTAAACGGAATAACCTTAAAACATACTTAAATTATTGGTCTTAATTTCCAACTAATGAGAGCATTGACTTCAGTTACTATTTAAGATTAATAATTTATCAGCAAATAACTTCTTTTTACTCCTCATCATATGTGTTTGAGCAAACATGGAAAGAAAAAGGGATTAAGCAAGAGCAGGAAATCATCTTTATTTTGGTAATTGTTTATACGCAATAGCCAGTTAAGGCCAGGATTTCTAAGGGAGTTCATTGCCCAAAGCCTGTGAATCTAGTTGGCAACCGTCTAAATGTTTGCAGGTTCATAGTTAAATGCAGAGTAAATGTGGCCACTTATCTCTGAGGGATTCAGCAATTCCTGCAGAAAAAAGTGCTCACTTTGCCACGTCTCTAAATAATATCAGTGTTGCTGCATCAGAAGAATTAATTTTGCATCTACTGCCTCGTTTCATTTTAGCCACAGAGATTAGTGTTTATATTAAAAGGAAAATAACGGGCAGAACTCTGTGACATAAATGGATCAGACATTATATTGAAGTGGTCCAAGCAAGGCAAGCAAATGCATTATTGGGGATATTATGCATTTTCAGTGTGGAAAGGGCCAGAGATGGCTGCAAAATTAAAGAAAATAAATCCATTTTAAAAAATCTGATACAGCTTTACCCAATTACATCATTTTTCACAGATGCTGATTCCCACAAGAAAGTTGATTTTCTTTAAAGGTTTCCACCTGTGATGTTGTTATATGTCATTATATAAATGCTAGCTTCAAAGTAAAACTGCATGTTCCATTCTCTATTATATCAAGTTCCCACACCTTGCTTGTGTAAGTTGTTTTTTTGCACAGAGAAGGCAAAGTAGAGATTATCTTAAACGGGGTATGAAAGGAGGGGAGGATTATAAACAAAAAAATTTAAGAAAAAGTACGTGCTTCAGTACTAATGACACATTCTTGGACATGCATTTGAAGCACAGCTTCGTGAAATGCAGCAGGGAGCAGAGGAAGCATTTTCCCCACTGTCCTTCGTCCCATTTTAATAACAATTTCCTCGAAAAGAGAGAGAATGATAAAATTCTCAGCTGCATCAGAAACAGGGGGCTCACCTATTTCAGCGTTATTTAGGGTAACAACAGTGCGTGCAGGCAAAAAAAGGATCTCAGCAAGTTTCAGTAGGTCACCAACCCATGCAGCTGAGAGGGATGTCACAGAGAATGTCAATGCATCTGTCCTGCAGTGCAGACAGGTGGGGATAATAGCTCTACTCTAATACTCTTTAATTACATTAAAGACCATGAAGGCCCCAGGGTACTGGGGTGAAATGGGAATGACAGCAGTGAGCAGCAGATCCAGTCATGTTCCAAAAATCGTACCCAAGAGGCAACGCAAGAGTTTCCTGAAAGATACCAAAACATGAGCTGTGGGCTCAGCTGGAAAGTCATGCTCTTGTGTGGTTACACAGTGCACACAACCCAAAACGTCTCCCCACTAACCTTCCAATAGTCTCACCACTCTCTCAACAGGAATTACCTCCCTAGAGTTATGCACCCTTGTAGCAAAACATGGCTTAGATAGAGGTGATGCAATTCTCATTCCTTCAACAGGGGAGAGCAACCTGGTAGAGACAAGACAAAGGCTTTGTACCTCTAATTGTCCCTGTCACCCAGCCCTTCCCTCCCTACTTATGTCCACTGGACATGTCCTCAACATCCATGATTTCTCCTCCAACATCAACCACATCGTAATTCTGTCCCTGAGGACAGACAGAGGTCCACACCTCACAGCATACTTACAGCTCCATCTGGGCATCCTACAGCCCCAGGAGGGATCTGCATGAGGAACTACGTACCAGTTCAGTAGCGTGTATCCAAGCTGATACAGTTTTTAGCATTATTTTTCTTCCTAACCCAGTCTTATGCCCCACAGCTGCAATCAAGGTCTCACTACAGTAGGGGCAGCCAAAATCACTTGCAACCTCTGCAGGCAAAGCAGAGAAGGGAAAAACAAGAGTTGAGTGAGGAAATTTATTAAATCAGCTTATCTGGGTCATCTAAGAAGTCAGGCCAGGATGATTTCCTGCTTAATTCCTTCATCACAAGCGTGTCCTTGCAACAATATTAATTTTAAAATACATTTCAGTCCCTCTCATTTCAGTCAGCCCCTCTAGACTTGCAAACACTGAAATGTACCACTTTGTCGCAAACTAATGACATCAAAATGGCAGAATGTCAGATCTCCACTGTATTTGCCAATGTACAGATGCACATCCTGTTCCACTCCTCCATGCTGCTGTTGTCGCTCGTAAAGCACAAAAAACCCAGACTGCAACATACATTATTTGAGATGAAACATTCCTCAGTCATCCAGGTCAGACACTCATCTGTGTGTCTCCCACAGAAGACTTGATAAAAGAAGTGAGAATCTGTCTCCTAGGTTCTGTACTTTGTATTTGTAAGAAGCTTTTGCAAGCCCCAGATGCCAGATAAATAGAAACAATAACAGTTGACTTGTTGATCAAAACCAATTCATGACTCATTGTTCATGATCAAAACCCTTGGCTGTGCAACAGGTGGGAATACTTCCTACTCATTTTGAAGAGTGCCAAGGATCTTGCAACCAGTTTCTTTCTGATATCAGAAGTACATTCCCAAAAATACATTTTGGGAGACTTCCAACCTACCTGACAAAGGGAAATAGTCTGGCAAGCTGCTCTACACTTTGCTTAATAGGGATCCAGGCTGTGAGGTGACTCTACTTCTAACCCAGAAACCCTGGGGAGAA